GTGTGACAGGGCTTTTTTTTTTCTTTTTTTTAAAGAGGTACTGGAACTCTCAAGAGAGAAATTAAGTTTTCAATTTGTATACTGAACTTTTAAACATTTTTTAAAAGAATTTTGTCGAAGAGGTTCCGGGAACTCTGTTCCGGTATGCTCCCCCAGAAAAAAAAAGCCCTGCTGCGTGATCTGCTGCGCGATATGAACCTGGCTGTTGCTGTCTCCCACCCTAACTTAACTCACAGGGTGAGGATAAAATGCAGGGGGAAACCTTGTATGCCGCTCTGAGCTCCTTGGAGGAAGAGTAAGATAAACATGTAATAGGGGGGAAAGAGGAGGAGGAGGAAGGATTTTCAAAAGGCGGTGGGAGATAATCGGACAGATCTCATTACGGCACAGGACTGTTGTATAGATCAATGAACATTTTGAATTTTTAAAAATTCAGTTGAAATTAACGAGCACTGTCCCAGTCAGTAAATGAAAACGAGACAATTGTTTCCGTTTTCAGGAAGAATTTATTGGGAACGATTTTCCTTTTTCGGAAAGAATTAACCTCCCCCCCCCCCAATTCGTAAACACATAACAACTGAATAATTCAAAGTTAAACTTCTTAAAAAAGGAGTGTGTTGTCGTGTTGGGGAGGTGCAAAGAAACCGGGGGGGGGGGGGGCTTTTCATGTCAATCAAATTAGGCGCTCATATCTTGCCAGCAAAGGTTCCTTGTTCCCGCTGCTCATCCCAGCGCTTCACCTGAGGAGGGGAGAGTAGACAGGGGGCAAAGGAACATTGTTCAGAGAGGGTTCCTGAAGCAACACATCCACGTGAACCCCCAGCCCTACCCCGGAAAAACAAAACAACAATTAACAATTCGCTGTTCCTGAATGGTGCTCTCTTCCAGTTATGTTCTTGGGGCCAGCTCTTGCCACCTAAATATCCTCTGTGATGGATTTCCAGGACACTGGCATGCAGAATGTAGGGTTGCCAACTCTGGGTTGGGAAATTCCTGGATATTTGGGGGTGGAGCCTAGAGAGGCCAGGGTACGGGGAGGGGAGAGTCCTCAGTGTGCTATAATGATACATAGTCCGCCCTCCAAAACAGCCACTCTCTCCAGGAGAACTGAAATCAGTTGCCTGGAGATCGGTAGTAATTCTAGCTCTCCAGGCTTCACCTGGAGGCTGGCAACCCTATCTAGCAGACTGGACTGGTGCAGATTACATTCTGCTGGTATGACATTGATATGCACCACAGGATTCCAAAATGGTTCTCAGACATAAAAGGAACAGTCCTCTGAGGGTAGGGATGCCAGATTCAGGTTGGGAAACTCCTGGAGATTTGGGGATGGAGCCTGGGGAGGACAGGGACTCCAGTGGGGTACAATGCCACAGAGTCCACCCTCCAAAGCATCCATTTTCTCCTCTGATCTCTGCAGTTTGGAGATAAGCTGTAATTCCAGGAGATCCCCAGGTCCCACCTGGAGGCTGGCATCCCTACCTGCGGGTGGTCGCTAGAAAGAAGCAGGGTGTTGGTGCTAGTCAGTGAGTTGTAGTTAGGATCATGACAAGATTTTGTGGTTTTTAACGTTGAAAAGCTGCTGGTTGGTTTGAAAGAAAGGTTCCAAACGAGAGCCCAAAAAGCAGGAAAAGAGCCTGTTTCCAAAAAGCAGAACTCAAATGGAAACCGCAAAGTGCATTGCCTGCAGTCTGAAGGGAATGAGTGCGGTGGGCCAGCTGGGTTCCCCCTGCCAACCTGATGCTTCCACTCACCCAGGACACAGGACACAGGGATGTGAAGACCCTGCGGTACCAGTCACACAGCTTGGTGTCCTTGCCTTTGGCTGCCAGGGCCTTGGTGCAGCGGTGGTAATCTGCAGGGAAGAAGGAGAAACAACACCTCAATTTCTCCTCACCCTTCCTGATAACTTCAGAGAAGTTACAAGTCTGGGCACACCTTGGGGGGTTCCACATCTTCTAAGCTGTCCCTCTTCCACCACTGCATAACCTTCAAACAGGGACCAGAAACCAGGGCAAAGTTTTTGCTCTCCTTACCTGCTGCAGCAGTTTTATCTTCTGCTGCTGCTCTGTAATTTTTTCTGTTCTTTTTATTCAAAAAATGTCAAAGTGAAGTACCCGAAGGAGCATCTTTCTTAGCTGGTTCACAATCACAGCAACTCCTCCATTCCCTCCCCTTTAACAGAGCTGGGCCCCGGCCACACTGGCCGGATATCGCGCGCGGGGGGGGGGAGGCGTGGCTAATTGCCCCGGTGCAGTTTGATCCACGATTACGCGATCAGACGTGCCGGCGGCACACCATGGGTCCTTCCCTCGGCACCGGCGGGTAAACGAGGGACCGGAGGGGAATGCCGCGCGCCGGCGCGATCACACCACCAGTGTCTGGAGGCAGCCCGTGGCAAACGTTTACTAGTACCTTGGAGGAACTAGTTTTTTAACTCGCATTGTCGGTGGTAAGCCACGGGTGCGCTCCACTTCCCAGATGTTGGGGTGTGATCGCGCCCGGATAATCCGCCCACCATCCGTGCCTCTCCCGCAGCAACTTTGCCGTGTGACCGGGGCCCTTGTTTATTTAAAACATATTAATGCTGCCTTTCCACCCAAATAGGGTCCCCAAGGCAGTAAAGACCAAAACATCTGAACATTAAAAAAGCATTTAAATTAATAGTTCTAATGGCTTTTAAGGCAATGTTTTTAATTTGTATCTTTTAATTTGTTCGCCAACTTGATGGCCCTATAGAGGCAGAAAGGCATGGTAAAAATCTTGTTAATAAAATAAATAATATGTGGAGAGTGCAGACGTTTATAAAGAAAAGAAACCCAAAGCTTATATTATTGGCCTCCCACACCTTGCAGTACTTCAGGAGTAAGGATGCCAGCTCCAGACTGGGAGATTCCTGGAGATTTGGGGGGAAGGCCTGGGGAAGGTAGCATTTGGGGAAGCTAGGGTGCTCAGCTGGGACATAATGCCATACAGTTCATCCTCCAAAGCTGCCAGTTTCTCCAAGGAAACTGATCTCCGTAGCCTGGAGGTTAGCCGTAATTCTGGGATATCTCCAGCCACTACCGGGAGGTTGGCAAGCCCACTCAGGAGCACTAAAACAGGGTGACCAGAATTGCACACAGTATTCAACCCAAAGTCCCTCCCCCTCCTCATGGAACCGCATGCTCTCCCTCACCAACCCAAGTAATTCTGGTAGCAGTTGCGGGTCTGGTTGGTATTTGGGAAGCGTGGATCAAATGGGGCTGTCGTATACTCTCCCTTTTGCTTCCTGGTCTGGCTGAAATTTACCGAGGCAGCCGAAAAATTCTGCATTTCTGAAAGAAAGAAATAAGTGGGGGAAGGTTCACCTGAGTTGCTGTACTGCCCTTCCGTAGCACAATCCCCTCCAGCCCCCAGCTTCCTTCCAAGAGGTCATGGGGGTGCTGGCTCACACACAATCACCACACCAAGACTTCCTATTCCAGTTCCAGTTTCTCTCTTCCAAGGACCCAAGAGACACCGCAAAGCTAATAAATCTCTGCTTTTGCCTCAGCCTTGCTGCCCACCCGATCCAACCTTTACCTTTAACCTTATGGCTGTGATTTTTGTATCAGGGCTGGATGGAAGAAAACTGCCCAGAAGTAAGTGGAGGCCGAGTAGCTCCCTGCAGTGCTGGCAGCGCCACCAGGGACTGTTCTGCTTGCAATGGACAATGACGACCCCCCTACACTCTGGGCATAGGCTCACCCATCACCTCCTTGGATGCCCCGGTGGCTTTGCATCCAGCCGGTGGTAGCTTGTCGGCTTGGGAAATTCCTGGAGATTTGGGAAGAGGGAGCCTTGGGAGGGCAAAGTTTAGGAAGGGGAGGGAGCCCAGCAGCAATCTGATGTCAGAGTCCCCCCTCCCCCCCCAAAGCACCCATTTTCTCCAGGGGAACTGATCTCTGTAGTCTGGAGAGAAGCTGTAATTCTGGGGGATCCCCGGGTCCCACCTGGAGGCTGGCATCACTAGGGGGACTTTTAATGCAGCATGGAGATACACATACCTCCCCCCCACACTAATTTCTGTGGGTCAAATGCCAGTTAAAGATACTAAACAGCCGAGTTCAAATATTGGTGGCCTAGGCTTGCCAACTGTGGATTAAAAAATTCCTGGACATTTGGGGGTGGAGCCTGTGGAGGGTAGGGTTGCCAGCCTCCAGGTGGGGCCTGGGGATCTCCCGCTTTTACAACTCATCTCCCACGGACAGAGATCAGCTCCCCTGGAGGAAATGGCTACTTTGAAGGGGGGACTCTATGGCATTGTACCATGCCGAAGCCCCTCCCCTCCCCAAACCCCTCCCTCTCCTGGATCCACCCCCAGAGTCTCCAGGTATTTTCCAAACCAGACCTGGCAACACTAGCGGAGGGCATGATTTGGGGAGAGAAGGAGCTTTAGCAGGGAATAATCCGACAGAATCCATACTCCAGAGCAGTGTTCCCTCTAAGCTGAGTCAGTGTGAACTAGCTCACAGTTTTTTAGCCTCTGACTCACACATTTTTGTCTTAGCTCAGGAAGGATGGCTCCAGGGCAAACTAATTTATGCAGCCGCCAAATCACTCCCTCACAACTTCAATGCCAGTGGCTCACAAAGTAGAATTTTTGCTCACAAGACTCCACAGCTCAGAGGGAGCATTGCTCCAGAGCAGCCATTTTCTCCAGGGGAACTGATCTCTGTAGTCTGGAGATCAGTTGTAATTCTGGGATAACTCAAGACCCCACCTGGAAGTTGGAAACCAGGCAGCCTCACTCCTCCCCCGTCCCACTGACACCCCCCCCCCAACTCTCATTACTCTTGTCGAATAGTTGGCCTGACTCTGGATCCCAGTAGCCACTTCAGAAGATGGGGGAGAGGAAATATGGCACTTCCTCAGCCTCTGATTGGGTTGAGCAGTCACCAGACTAAGAAGTCAGCCAATGAACTTTGAGATGAACAGTCAAGGCTTTTTCTATACGGGGGGGGGGGGTTCATTCTGGCCTTTCCTTTTCCTGTTTGGAAGAACTGCCCTTCAGCCACCAATCAGCTTGCAGATACAGCCCCGGGGTTTAACGGTTGGGTATAACTGCCTCAGAATCTTATGGAGTCGTCAGTGAGGGAAGAGTCTGTTTGAAACCATGGGCCAGTCGGGGCCAGAAGTTTCTGCCTCTTCCAGGAGAATGGGGAAAACAGGCCAGTGTGTGCATTTCCACATTTATTCCGTTACTTATTCCATATTTATATCTGTGAATTATATATGTGTATCAGCAAAAAACCAAAACGAAACACTACCGCTGATTGGGAGGGGGGTGGTTGTGTGCAAATTTTCTTTCTTTATCACACCGTGGTTCCCCCCCCCCCTTTTCCAGTAAAATACTGCAAATTTTGGGGGCCAAATTTAGGGTTTGTAGAAATCCAAGGTATACAAAACAGTAAATCTGGCATTGATACTGAACATTATTGTCTTATAAATCATAAGGGCTAAACTGCATGTTCCATGGAAGATACCTGACTGCATCTCACAATGTATTTATTTCCAATTAAAAGCATTGGGGGGGGGGGCGGCAGTTTCAAATTGGGTCATATATGAACATGTCCAGCTTACCTTGTACTAAATCAGGCTATTGGGCTGTTTTGTCAGAAAAAGGTCTTTCCTAAGCTAGCTCTGATGTGTTAACTGGAGATGGAGAGATTGAACTAGTATAAATTGTAGCAGCTCCTCATAGATTAAACATGCAACACTGAGAGGAAGAGACTGTAAGTCTTCTTCCATCACTTCATTTTCAGCACCTTCCAAGCTGCTAGTTCACAGGGAGTGGGGGGAAGATCCAATAAAGCAAACATGAGCTGTGGAGGGAATTTACAGCAACAGCACCACCGCTTTCATTCAGTCTAGGGTTGCCAGCTCCAAACTGGGAAATTCTGGGAGATTTGGGGGTGGAGTCTGGGGAGGGCAGGGTTTGGGAAGGGACCTCAGTGGGGTATAATGCTATAGAGTCTAGCCTCCTTAAAGTCCACTTTCTCCAGGAGAACTGATCTCTGTCATCTGGAGATCAGTTGTGATTCTGAGAGCTCTCCAGACCCCACGTAGATTGGAAACCCTATAAATCAGTTCCCAACCACCCACAGTACTTGTAAATTAAAATAAAAATGTATGAGCAATTCTATGCAGTTACTCCACTCTGAACTTGTTGAAACCCATGGGCTTAGAGTGGAGTGACTCCCCACTTAATGCGTAGTTTGCCCCCAAGATTCATTTTGTTTTAAATGCTCCTCAAAACCAATGGTACTGCATACAAGTTTCAAGTACTGCTTTTCTTGGTGAAATTTGACCCTACTTCCATGTTATTTTGCTAAGGAAAACAGCAATTTAACTGTCATGAGTTGTACATAATTTGTATTTGGCTATCCAAAAGTGAGTATTAACTGTAGAAGTCTAAAGTCATCCAGGGTGGAACAGATTGACACACGTTTCTGTATCACCCCAATGGTATTAGTGATTGCAGCATGTCCTGAAGGCTGCTTCACACTTCCACCATGCCACAGCTACGTCACCATTTCCTACAAGAACAATGTGCAGTGTGATGGGCAGACATTTATCCTAAACACACAGCAAACACACACTGGGGAGTTAGGTGAGACCCAGTGTGGTGTAGTGGTTAGAGTGCCAGACTGGGAGGCAGGAGACCCAGGTTTGACTCCCCACTCTGCTTGCTGGGTGACCCCAGGCCAGTCATACACTCTCAGACTAATCTACTTCACAGGATTGTTGTGAGGATAAAATGGATAAGAGGGGAATGATGTAAGGACTATGGGTCACTTTTGGGGAGAGCCAATCAAGATTTTTACAGCTTCACACTACATGTTTCCTGTGGGATACATCAGTGTAACATCATGGCAGCAATGACTAACATTCTAATGTACTGAATCCAGATGTGTTTATTTATAGTCAGATTTATACCCCGCTCTCCCCGCAAAGCAGGCTCAGGGCGGCTTCCAACAGCAATACAACAATACATAATAAAAGCATAAATAGATAAAATGGATAAGAGGAGAATGATGTAAGGGCTATGGGTCCCTTTTGGGGAGACAGGCAAGGCAGCCAATCAAGGTTTTTACAGCTTCACACTACATGTTTCCTGTGGGATACATCAGTGTAACATCATGGTAGCAATGACTAACATTATAATGTACTGAATCCAGATGTGTTTATTTATTTATTTATAGTCAAATTTATACCCCGCTCTCCCCGCAAAGCAGGCTCAGGGCGGCTTCCAACAGCAATACAACAATATAGAATAAAAGCATAAGTAGTACAGAATCAAAACACAACAATTAAATAGTGCATTACAAATGTTACAAAGTACTGGTGGCAGTTAAAAATAAGCAAATAAGATGTTTTCAAATGAAAGTAGGAGGTTCTCAGGCCCAACAAAGGCTCTGATTTTAGCTCTCTAGCAGGACTACTGTGGTCACTGAAGTCTCAAGTTGCCAGGCTGCAGGGCAGACGGCACTCCTCATCTTTACAGACACGGCTGCCGCTCAGCCTCCCACAGTTCCATGGGCAGGCTCTGTCCTCTCCCTCCTACCACACCTGCTGGGGCACTTTAACAGAATTCTGAATAGATCCACCAGCATGATATTCTACTTTGAATTTTTTCACAAGTTCTTCAAATAGCTCTTTATGTTTCTCTTCTGCCAAGATTTGGTCATTTGGCTTCAGTCCATATTTGTCAAGGAAGTCCTTGTCCACTACTGCACAGATGTCAAGGAGAGGATTCCCCATTCCAAAAGGTTTTCACTCAGCCTGGGCATGGTGGCGGTGATGCGAGCGAGAGAGATAAGTTGATAAGTGAAACAGCTCATAGTTTATTTCAGCTCGGGAAAACAAGACAAGGAAAGCAGGACCGGAGGTCTGCTTATATTCCCATAGTAAACCATACCCAAACACACACCCACACCCGTGATAGGATTATTTACAGTGCACATGCCTTCTATAGGTCACTCTAGGATCCTGACTGCCCGATTGGGTGCATTCTAGGATCCGTGCTGGCTATTGTCTTGGAGAGCGAAGCTTAAGCCGTTCGCATGGCTGTGTGAGGACCCGACCGTGTGCGCGGTCTATGTAAGAACACAACAAACATATTAAAGTGTATTCATTTAACTTTGTTTAACCTATATAGCTCTCTTCCTCCAGTCGTACAATGGAAGAAGGGTAGAATATAACATAAATGTAAAAAAAAATCCAGCTAGAGGTCGCGGGGGTGTCGAACTCATTTGTTATGAGGGCTGGATCTGACATAAATGAGACCTTGT